CCCCTCCCCCTTTTCTGATGAAGGGTCTAGGCCCGAAACGTCAGCCTCTCTGCTCCTATGATGCTGCTTGGCCTGCTGTGTTCATCCAGGCCTGCACCTTGCTATCTGGATGCATGACAGCTTGGTATGGCAACTGCTCTGCCCAAAACTGCAAGGAATTATAGAGTTGTTAATGGAGCCCAGTCCATCACTTGCAAAGCAGCCTTCCTTCCATTGACTCCATCTACACTTCCTACTGCCTCAGAAAAGCAGCCAGCATAATCAAAGATCCCTCCCACCCCAGTAATACTTTCTTCCAACCTCTTTTGTCAGGCAGAATATACAAAGTTTTGAAAACAAGTACTAACAGATTTAAGAACAGTTTCTTCCCCACTGTTATCAGATTTTTGAAAGGACCTCATATTAGAGTTGATCTTTCTCTGCATTTTCTCTAGCTGTGACAATATATTCTGCGTTCTATTGCCCTGATGTACTTATGTAAGGCATGATTTGTCTGGTTAGCACAATACCTTTCACTGTATCTCAGTACATGTGACAATAATAAGTCAAATCAAATCCTCTACACTAGTTTATTCCCCCATCTGATTTTTCTAGTCTATGTAGATTAAAGTCACCCATGATCAGTGTCATTCTTTTATTAGAATCACGGGTATTTTTTCTTGCATACTCAGTATAAGCACATGATGGCTTATGTTCAGACCACTTCCACTACTGCCATCTTTGTCTTATATTCCTCATCTCCACACAAACCAATTCTACCCCCTGTTCTGCTCAACCAAGCTCATCTCTAATGCTTGCACAAATGTCATCCTTAATTAACAGTGCTACCCCTGCACCTTACTGAGCTTCCTCAAACGTTACGTACTCCTCATCAACCCTCTCTGTTATCTCAGTGAAGCCTCTTCTGGAATACTGTGTCCAGTTCTGGTTTCCCACTGCCTCAGGAAAGCAGCCAGCATAATCAAAGATCCCTCCCACCCCAGTAATACTTTCTTCCAACTTCTTCTGTCAGGCAGAATATACAAAGGTTTGAAAACAAGTACCAACAGATTTAAGAACAGTTTCTTCCCCACTGTTATCAGATTTTTGAAAGGACCTCATATATTAGAGTTGATCCTTCTCTGCATTTTCTCTAGCTGTGACAATATATTCTGCGTTCTATTGCCCTGATGTACTTATGTAAGGCATGATTTGTCTGGTTAGCACAATACCTTTCACTGTGTCTCAGTACATAGGAAGGATATTATCAAGCTGGAGGATTGAGAAGAGACTTACCAGGATGTTACCGACATATAAAGGAAGGGTGGATAGGCTGGGAATTTTTTTTTCACTAGAGTGTTGGAGGTTGAAGGGCCACCTGATACAAGTTTATAAAATAATGAGAGGTACAGATAGAGTTAATGGGGCACATTCTTAACGAGAGAGGAGAGAGATTTAAAAAAGACATGATGGGCAATTTTTTTTACACTAAGCATGGTTCGCTTATGGAATAAATTTCCTGAGGAAGTGGTGGATGTGGGTACAATTACAATGTTTAAAAGACATTTGGATAGATACACGAATAGGAAGGGTTTGGAGGGATATGGGTTAGGAGCAGGCAGGTGGGACTAGTTTATTTTGGGATTATGTTCTGCATGGACTGGTTGGACCGAAGGGTCTGTTTCTGTGCTGTATTACTCTACGACTCTATAACTGAGGGTGGTAGTAGATGGAAAGTATTCAGTCTGGAGTTCGGTGACCAGTGGTGTTCCACAGGGATCTGTTCTGGGACCTCTGCTGTTTGTGATCTTTATAAATGACTTGAATGAGGAAGTGGAAGGGTGGGTTAGTAAGTTTGCCGATGACACAAAGGTTGGTGGAGTTGTGGACAGCGTGGAGGACTGTTGTAGGTTGCAACGGGACATTGACAGGATGCAGAGCTGGGCAAAGAAGTGGCAGATGGAATTCAACCCAGAAAAGTGTGAAGTGATTCATTTTGGAAGGTGGAATTTGAATGCAGAATACAGGGTTAATGGCAGGATTCTTGGCAGTGTGGAGGAACAGAGGGATCTTAGGGTCCACATCTATAGATCCCTCAAAGTTGCTACCCACGTTGATAGGGTTGTTAAGAAGGCATATGGTGTGTTGGCTTTCATTGGCAGGGGTATTGAGTTTGTGAACCGCAAGGTTATGCTGCTCTATAAAACCCTGGTTAGCCCACACTTGGAATATTGTGTTCAGTTCTGGTCGCCTCATTATAGGAAGGATGTGGAAGGTTTAGAGAGGGTGCAGAGGAGAGTTACCAGGATGCTGCCTGGATTGGCGGGCAGGTCTTATGAGGAAAGGTTGAGGGAGCTACGGCTTTTCTCATTAGAGCGAAGAAAGATGAGAGGTGACTTGATAGAGGGTGTACAAGATGATGAGAGGCATAGATAGAGTGGATAGCCAGAGACTTTTTCCCAGGGCGGAAATGACTACTATGAGGGACATTATAAGGTGATTGGAGAAAGGTATAGGGGAGATGTCAGAGGTAGGTTCTTTACGCAGAAAGTGATGTGTGTGTGGAATGCAGTGTCAGCGGAGTCAGATACATTAGGGACATTCAAGCAACTCTTAGATAGGCACATGAATGATAGTAAAATGCAGGGTAGTTTGATCTTAGAGTAGGATAATTGTAAGACAATGTTGGCACAACATTGCGGGCCGAAGGGCCTGTACTGTGGTGTATTGTTCCGTATTCCATATTTAACTCCAGAAAGTCAGTTTGTCACAATTCTCCCTCAACAAATCCATGCTCACTCTTCAAAACTGATCCCTTCCCACCCCATGTGACTAGAAACCTATCACAAATAATTGTTTCTAGAACTCTCTCTCCCCACCCCACCCCACTGAAGTTAAACATTTCACCCAGATTTGCTCAGCTTCCTGGATTTAGCTGTGCCTCAGGTGCAGCACTGACCTCTCCAGTCAGTGAGCTAATATTCAGAGTGCCAGCCCCTGAAAGCTCTCCAAACAACATAATGGACAGTACCTGGAACAGGTCATTCTGGATGTCCAACATTTCCACTGTGAAGTAAGAGATGAAATGGAGAGCATAGTCCTCAGCTTTGTGGATTATTGCTAAGTGTACAATCCTGAAAGACAGAGGCAGAGAGAGAAACTGAGCGATTGATCGAGAGAATAGGCAGATACAGCAATGGAAAGCGTGAAGGAACATATCATTAATAAACTGACAGCCAACCCAGACTAACCTTATCGCAAAGGCTCCGAACTGGATTAACACTCCCATCTCCCTGCCACCCCACCCGCAGCATGGGCTCCGAACAGGATTAACCCAGAGCCCGACCCCTAGCGAGGGCTCCAAACTGGATTAACACCCCACTCCCCCACCCCCACCGAGGGCTCTGAGCCTGATTAACCCACCCCCAGCATAGGGTGATAGCTGGATTAACCCCTCACCCACAGGAGCTCTGAACCAGATTAAAACCCCCGCACAGAGATTTTGAATTGGATTAAGCCCTTTGATGATACTAGACTTACGAGTCTCCGTCTTCACCCAGGAAGGTGTATGGGTTGAGTCGAGCTTCAGTCTGTGCTGCAAGGTCCCCAGACATTTCCAATTTGCAGCTGTGTTCCAGTGCTTCACTCAGTGACTCAGTCAGGGACTGGGATCCATACGAGGAGTCGAGGCGTTCAGTAGAATCCTGCTCATTGTAGGCTTTGGGGTCACTCTCAGTGCCCAGCAACCCACTGCCCTGCCCCTCAGGTCTCTGTGTCTCACTCCCCTGACCCTCACTGCCCTCTCCCTCACTCCCCTGACCCTCAGGTTGCGCCACCTCCACCTCCTGAAGCTGGTATGAGGCGGACTCCAACCGCCCGCTCAGAGACTCTGACCCATACGAGGAGTCGAGCCGCTCAGCGTCAGAGCCGCACTTATCCCCAAAGAGGGGGAATACCGGGTCAGAGCGCCAGCTCACCGGCTCCATTAGTCCGGCCGCCGCTCCAGGCGAACCTCAGACCCCGCAGCCGACGCAGCAACTCAGCTAGGCCTCAGTCACGGGACATGGCCAGGCCCCGCCCCTCCCCCCGGCCCCGCCCCTCCCCCTGGCCCCGCCCATCCCCGGCCCGCGTCCTGGCCCCGCCCCCGCCCCCGCCCCGCCCCTCCCCGCCCCGCCCCTCCCCTCACACGGACCCCACCCCACACCCTGGCCCCGCCCTCACACTGGCCCCGCCCCACCACGCCCTCTGGCCCCCCGCCCATTGCCATGACCCCGCCCTCACACTGATTCCGCTCCCCTCGTCTGCACCCCGCCCCTCACTCTGGCCCCGCCTCTCGATCTGACCAGGCCCCCCTCAGCCACGCCCCACACTTTGTCCCCGCCCCCTCACCCTGACAGTCGTTGGGAAAATAAATTGCAACCGAGAAATAGGAAATTTGCGAATGGGTATGGATAGGTTAGGTGAATGGGCGAAAACTTAGCAAGTGAAGTTTAACATAAAGTCATAGAGATAACGTGGATAAGTGTGAGGTTATCCATTTTGATTTGGGAGGAAAGGAAGGGCAACCTTTGATCTAAATAGAGAGAAACCTCAGAGTGTTTCAGTGCAGAGGGATCTGGGTGTCTTTGTGTATGAATCACAGAAAGCTAGTATGTAGGTTTAGCAGTAATAAGGAAACCAAATGGAATTTTGGCATTTATCGTTAAAGGACTGGAGTATAAAAATAGGGAAGAGTTGCTGCAACTGTACAAGACATTAGTGAGACCACATCTGGAGTATTGTGTACAGTTTTGATCCCCTTACTAGAGGAGGGATAGAGTTGCATTGGAGGTAGTTCAGAGGAGGGTCACTAGATTGATACCAGAGATGAGAGGTTTGTCTTATGAAGACAGACTGAGCAGTTTAAGCCCACACTGTCTGGAGTTTAAAAGAATGAGAGGACAGGAGATATATAAGATGCCAAAGGGATTAACAAAAGAGATGGTGAAAGGCTGTTTCCTCGTGGGACAGTCTAGAACGAGAGGTTATTGTTTTAGGATAAGGGACAGTAAATCTGAAATAGAGATGAGGAGAAATAGCTTCTCTCAAAGGGTTGTGAATATCAGTGCAACTCACTATCCCAGAGTGAGGTGAATGCTGGGACATTGAGTAAATTTAAGGAGGTGATAGACAGGTTTTTAATTAGTAACAGGTTAGAGGGTTATCGAGAGCGGGCAGGAAAGTGGAGTGACGCTGAGGTGAGAGCAACCATGATTGTATTAAATGGTGGAGCTGGCTTGAGGGGCTGAATGGCCTCATTCTGCTCCTAGTTCTGATGTTCTTATCCCTAAAGGACAATAGTGAATCAGATGGGATTTTATAATATTAATAAAGGCATCATGGTTGCTAGTGTATTTTACATTACATACTTCTTTAATTGAATTCAAATCCACTGTCTGTCATGATGGGATTCAAACCCTTAGCCTCAGGTCTGGATTACTCACCCCATTCCCATGGTGCCACAGCCTTTCAGCTCAGGTATATGACAACTCCAACAAGAAACTGAAGATTTTTCAGACAGGGAGTTGAAGTCAAATTAAAGCCTTCGAGATGTGAGAGAAAAGGGTTTTCTGGTGTAAGTACTGTACAAGGGGTGCTTTTGAGATTAACGGGATTACATTTCATCCCATGAATGAAGTGCCTTGAGAGGTTAGTAATGGCTCACATCAAATCTAGCCTCCCATTGCCATGATCCACTACAATCGCAACAGATCTACAGCAGATGCCATCTCCCTGGCCCCACACTCATTCCTGGAACATCTGGATAACAAGGACACCTATGTAGACACCAATTTATTGACTTTAGTTCTGCCTTCAACACCATAATTCCAACCAAACTCATCTCCGAACTCTGTGATCTAGGACTCTGCTTCCCCGCTCTGCTACTGGATCCTGGATTTCCTGACCCGCAGGCTGCAACCAGTAAGGATAGGCGACAACACCTCCTCCACAAAACCGGTGCCCCACAAGACTATGTACACAGCCCCTTACTATACTCTTTATGCACTCATAACCATGTGACCAAATTCAGCTCTAACTCCATTTACATGTTTGTTGATGGCACCACCGTGGTGAGTTAGATCTTAAAAAATGACGAGGAAGAGAACAGGAAGAAGGTAGAGAGTTTAGTGGCATGACAACAATCTCTCCCTTCATAAAAGTAAAAGGAAGGAGCTGGGCATTGACTTCAGGAAGCGGAGTGGAGGACACGCCCCTGACTATCGATGATGCTGAGTTGGAGATGGTTGAGAGCTTCAAGTTCCTAGAAGTAAATATCACCAGTCCTAGAAGTAAATATCACTAGTCCATCCACGTTAATGCTACAGCCAAGAAAGCACACCAGTGCCTCTACTTCCTCAGAAAGTTAAGGAAATCCGGCATGTCCACAATGAATCTTACCAATTTTCATAGACGCACCATAGAAAGCATCCTATCCAGATGCATCACAGCTTGGTATGGCAACTACTCTTTCGAAGACGGCAAGAAATTACAGAGAGTTATGAATGCAAACCAGTCCATCACGCAAACCAGCCTTCCTTCCATTGACTCCATCTATACTTCCCACTGCCTTGGGAAAGCAGCCAACATCATCAAAGATCTCTCCCACTCTATTCCATCAGGCAGAATATACAAAAGTTTGAAAACACACAACAACAGATTTAAGAACAGCTTCTTCCCCACTGTCATCAGACTTATGAAGGGACACCTCATATATTAGAGTTGATCTTTCTCTGCACCTTCTCTGTAGCTATAACATTATATGCTGCATTCTGTTGTTTTTTTTTCCCCTTTATTCGTTCACAGGCCAGCATTTACTGCCCATCCCTAATTGCCCAGACGGCAATTAAGAGTCAACTACATTGCTGTGGGTCTGGAGTCACATGTAGGCCAGACCAGATAAGGATGGCAGATTCCTTCCCTAAAGGGCATTAGTGAACCAGATGGGTTTTTCCCTGACAATCAACAATGAATCATAGAATCGCTATGATGTGGAAGCAGGCTATTTGGCCCAATAAGTCCACACTGACCCTCAGAAGAGCATCCCTACCCTATCCCTGCAACTTCCCATGGCTAATTCACCTAGCCACACATCCCTGAATACTATGGAGCAGTTAGCATGGCCAATCCACCTAGCCTGCACATCTTTGGACTGTGGGAGGAAACTGGAGCACCTGGAGGAAACCCACACAGACACAAGGAGAACATGCAAACTCCACACAGACACCTGAGACTGGAATTGAATCTGGGTCCCTGGCTCTGTGAGGCAGCAGTGCTAACCTCCGCTAAGGCGCTGTGCTGCCCCTAATGGATTCATGGTCATCACTAGATTCTTAATTCCATTTGAATTCAAATTCCACCATCTGCTGCGACGGGATTTGAACTCAGGTCCCCAGAATGTTATCTGGGTTTCTGGATTAAGTCCAGTGATAATACCACTAGGCCATTGCTTCCCCATTAAAGGCATTCTGTTGTATTACTTTAATGCACTTATGTAAGGTATGATTTGTCTTTGACATGCAAAACAATACTTTTCACTGTATCTCAGCACATGTGACAATAATAAATAAAATCAAAACATCTTTACATTTGTGTCATATCTAAATGGTCTGGTTTATTCCATTTTATTGTTATTCTATTTGGTGAATAAACTTTTATTGATAAGAACAAATCTGTGCATTATGTTGCATGTTTGTTAAAACCAAAACAAACTATAATCTATCAAGCCAGATTGACACATCCAATCATAAAATCAGATGGGATTAAAACACAGTGTAGGTGCAAATGAAACAAGACCTGAATAATATCCAGGCTTGGGCTGACAGGTGGCAAGCCACACAAATGGCAGGTAATGACCATCTCCAGTAAGAGACAACCTAACCATCACCTGTTGACTTTCAATGGCACAACCAAGACTGAATCCCCCATTATCAACATCCTGGGGAGCTTACCATTAACCAGAACTGGACTAGCCATATATTTACAGTCGCTACAAGAGCAGGTCAGAGACTGGTAATCCTGCAGAATGTATTCTTGGTGGGAAACTTCAGTGTCTATTACCAAGAGTAGAATGGAAGCACCATACTGAGCAAATAATGTGAATTCTGATAGGCATATATACTAGACAACAAGGTGCAGGGCTGGATGAACACAGCAGGCCAAGCAGCATCATAGGAGCAGGAAGGCTGACGTTTCGGGCCTAGACCCTTCATCAGAAAAGGGGGAGGGGAAGGGGGTTTTGAAATAAATAGGGAGAGAGTGGGAGGCAGATAGAAGAGGGATAGAGGAGAGGATAGGTGGAGAGGAAACAAACAGGTCGAAGAGGCGGGGATGGAGCCAGTAAAAGGTGAGTGTAGGCAGGGAGTAAGGGAGGGGATAGGTCAGTCCAGGGAGGATGGACAGGTCAAGGGGGTGGGATGAGGTTAGTAGGTAGGAGATGGGGGTGCGGCTTGAGGTGGGAGGAGGGGATAGGTGGGAGGAAGAACAGGTTAGGGAGGCGGGGACGAGCTGGACTGGTTTTGGGATGCGGTAGGGGGAGGGGAGATTTTGAAGCTTGTGAAATCCACATTGATACCATTGGGCTGCAGGGTTCCCAAGCGGAATATGAGTTGCTGTTCCTGCAACCTTCGGGTGGCATCGTTGTGGCACTGCAGGAGGCCCAGGATGGACATGTCGTCTGAGGAATGGGAGGGGGAGTTGAAATGGTTCGCGACTGGGAGGTGCAGTTGTTTATTGCGAACCGAGCGTAGGTGTTCTGCAAAGCGGTCCCCGAGCCTCCGCTTGGTTTCCCCGATGTAGAGGAAGCCACACCGGGTACAGCGGATGCAGTATACCACATTGGCAGATGTGCAGGTGAACATCTGCTTGATGTGGAAAGTCTTCTTGGGGCCTGGGATGGGGGTGAGGGAGGAGGTATGGGGGCAGGTGTAGCACTTCCTGCGGTTGCAGGGAAAAGTGCCGGGTGTGGTGGAGCTGGAGGGGAGTGTGGAGCGGACAAGGGAGTCACGGAGAGAGTGGTCCCTCCGGAAAGCAGATAAGGGTGGGGAGGGAAAGATGTCTTTGGTGGTGGGGTCGGATTGCAGATGGCGGAAGTGTCGGAGGATGATGCGTTGGATCCGGAGGTTGGTGGGGTGGTACGTGAGGACGAGGGGGATTCTTTTTTGGTTCTTATTGCGTGGACGGGGTGTGAGGGATGAGGTGCAGGAGATGTGGGAGACACAGTTGAGAGCGTTCTCGACCACTGTGGGGGGGAAGTTACGGTCCTTGAAAAACGAGGACAACTGAGATGTACGGGAGTGGAATGCCTCATCCTGGGAGCAGATGCGGCGGAGGCGAAGGAATTGGGAATAGGGGATAGCATTTTTGCAGGAAGGTGGGTGGGAGGAGGAGTATTCTAGGTAGCTGTGGGAGTCGGTGGGCTTGAAATGAATATCGGTTTCTAGGTGGTTGCCCGATATGGAGACAGAGAGGTCCAGGAAGGGGAGAGAGGTGTTAGAGATGGTCCAGGTAAACATAAGGTTGGGGTGGAAGGTGTTAGTGAAGTG